AAGATGAGTGGCCTGAGGTCACTGCCTCTCTCAGACATGTTCCTTTTCTCATCACAAGGCCGTTCATCTCTCACGCCCGCGACGTGCAACAGGTGAGTTGAGTATGTGTGTGTGTGTGTGTGTGTGTGTGTATATGTGTGTGTGTGTGTATGTGTGTGTGTGTATTAAGCTTGCCTGCATTGGGCTCAACGTCTTCCTCCACCTCACTCTGTCGTTATCACTGACACGCCCACCCCCCCCCCCTCCACACACACACACACACACACACACATGTGCACACGCCCACGCACGTGAGGTGGTGGACCGTGTACTTGAGGCCAATGACGACGACGACCTGTCGTGGGCTGTGAGCAGAGACACCGACCTGCTGCAGAAGATATGCTACAACGCGTACTTCCTCATGGCGTACATGTACGGCCCCACCCCAAGCGACAGCATCATCCTCGGCAAGCTCGATATCCAGCGCTGCGTGTTTGACGAGCTAGACAAGGTTGTCGTATCCAAGTCAACACGCAAGCAGGCGCGCCGGCTGCGCATCACCGTCGACACGCGCTTCGACGACGTGGTCGAGAGCTGCTTGCGGCAGCACGGTGTCAACTGGCTTGGGTGCATCGCCGACGAGTACAGGCGCATGCACCGTCACCCGGGCAACGGCACGCGCATGCACTCTGTGGAGGTGTGGGAGGACGATAACCTCGTTGCGGGCGAGCTGGGCTGGGCCTGCGGTGGCGTGTACACCAGGTATGCTCGGTCGAGTTGGGTGCGTGTCTGTCTGTGTGTGTGTGAGTGAGTGAGAGAGTGAGTGAGTGTGTGTGCATGCCTGCATGCGTCTCTATCCGTTTGCGTCCCCACCGTGTTCTTGCTTCGTCCAACGCACAAAAGTATCCCCCCCCCCACACACACACACACACACACACACACACACACACACACACACACACACACACACACACACACACACACACACACACACACACACACACACACATACACACACACACACACACACACACACACACACACACTTGCAGTGCCACTGGGTTCACGGGCCAGAGCGGGGCGGGTACGGTGCAGATGTGCACACTTGCGCGCCTGCTGAAGGAGTGTGGGTTTAGGATGTGGGACCTGGGCATGGGCCTGCCATACAAATACAGGCTTGGCGCCACCAACATGCCCCAGCGCCAGTTTGTCGCCGCTTACAGACAGGTTGGTGGCGCGATATACGCGCGCGCGTGTGTGTCTGTGTCTGTGTGTCTGTGTCTGTGTGTGTGTCTCTGTGTTTGTGTGTGTGTGTGGTGTATGTTTGTGCATTTAAGCGTCTGTGTCTGTCAGTACAAGTATGTCTGCCTGTCCGTCTGTCTGTGTAAGTATGTGTGCGTGTGTGTGTGCATCACTCCTCCTTCTCCAATTCCATCATCGCCTTCTCCCCCATCTCCCAGCGGCTTCACCGCGCACTTGCATCCGGTTTTATCACACACACCGCTCACTTCCTGCCTGCCTGTCCCATTGCAAACCATTACCACCATCGCCGCCACAGCTGCGGGACTTGCCGTGTCGTCTGGAGTGTCCCGGGCGCAACTGCCGCGAGATTGTTGACACCAACCGCCCACCGCACCCAATACAACCGCCTGCACCACAACAACAACAACAACAACAACACCAACAACAACAACAACAACAACACCAACAACAACAACAACAACAACAACAACAACAACAACAACACCAACAACAACAACAACAACAACATGATGCTGACACTGGTGGTTCAGTACCCGAAACTGAGCATGCCCATGACAGCTGACACATTGTGGACTCTTGTGCTTTGCGTACGTTCTTGCTTGTCTCGTGTTTTACTCTCGTGTGGCGTTCGTCCTCCGCTGCTCAGTTGCCCTTCAGTCCTTGCCATTACACGTGCATCGAATCATTTACACCATGACGTCATCGGCGTGCACAGCCCTGTTGTTATTGCCGCTCTCTTGCTCACTCGCGCTCCTCCTGTTGATAGCACGCATCCAACACACACGCCCGAACAACATACACAACACACGCACAAGTGCACAAAAGCACACACAATACACACGCACAAGCGCACAAAAGCACACACAATACACAACACACGCACATACGACACCATACGCACATACGCACAGCACGCACACACACAGCGATGCCGCGCGTATTGCCTTTGTTGTTCGCGGTGGCGTTTGTGACTTGCTGTGCCCCTTGCACATGCGTCGCCGCAACCACGACGACGACGATGACTTGCGTGCCAGACAACTTTGATCAACCAGCTGCATTTGTCACATCCACCGCAAACCCGTATCCCACGACTTCGTACCCCACTGAAGAAGTCTTCACCACGAGCCCGTACCCATATGGCACCACCAACCAAAACTCAAACACCCCGCAAGGCACCACCACTCCACACACAACGACGCCGTCCGTGACAACAACGACCACAGCAGCAGCGACCAACGCGGCGCACAGCAACAACTTCTTCTTTCGCGCCTCCCCCATCTCCGGAGACACCACACCGTTCAACGCCACCATCTGCGAGGGAGACGTGGACTGGTACGAGATCGAACTGTGTGCACGCGGGCACCTGGACGTGAGCTTGAGCACCTATGGCACGGGCATCCGCGCTGAGCTTTATACCGCCGATGGCGCCAAAGTATCGACGTCTCTTTCCTCCTCTCTCAGCTTCGACAACGGCGAAAGTGTTTCCGTGGTCGTCGTGTACCTGTTCGTGTATGGCCACGGCGGCGCGCAGGGCGAGTACACCGTGAGCGTTGATATCGACTGCACAACTTGCAGCGGGGCCGGCGTGTCCGACATCACGCTTGACTGCTCCAACGCAGATTCGCGTTCCGCGGTTGCGTCCTTGGGCGCGTGCGAGGTGGCGCAGGTGGTGGAGTGCTGCTGCGAGGAGTTCTACGGCCTGCAGCGCGTGACGGGGTCCGTGACCCTGGCCACCACCACGACGGCGCTTCAGTTTGGGCAGGTTACGCACATTGGCGGGTCTGTGATTGCCCCCGGCAGCGGGGCGCAGCCTGGCGTGCTGTCCATAGTTGACTTTGGCGGCCTCGCCTTTGTCGGCGGAGAAGTGAAGATGAAGCACAACAGCGTGAGCAGCCTGGACTTTGCGCGCGTGGCACATGTTGGAGGCGACATCCGCATCAACCACAACCACATGCTCAGCGTGGCGTTTGGCAGCCTAACCCACGTCGGCGGGCACCTTGCCATGCACGACAACGCGCTGTCCAGCGTCGACTTTGGTGCGCTGCTGTACGTGGCTGGCAACCTGACCCTGTACAACACGCTCCTGACCATGCTGAGCTTTGCTGACATTGCGTGGGTTGGCGGCGACGTGGTGTTGCGCTCCACGCCCATATCCACGCTGGACTTTGGCCAGATGACACACGTTGGCGGCACGCTTGACATGAGCGCCAACTCTGTCAGCGCGTTGGAGCTGGCTGGCATCCAATATGTTGGAGGTGACGTGACCATTGCCAGCGCGCCGCTGACCACCCTTGACTTTGGCGCCCTCACTGAAGTTGGCGGCGGCTTCGAGTTAACGTACTGCTCGCTGCCTGCCGTGGACCTCCACAACATTGCGCGCGTGAACGGCAGCATCCGCATCAGCGCCAACAGCGTGACGAGCGTGGACCTAAACAGCCTGACCTTCCTTGGCGGCAGCCTCACCCTCAGCCACAACAGCGTGGCAACGGTCGACGTGGGCCAGCTGCAGCACGTGGGCGGCGCCATCACCATCCACAGCACCCCGCTTGCCAGCATTGACATGAAGAACGTGACGGTGATTGGGGGCGGCGTGAACATTTCGAGCGTCAGCCTGCCCTCGTTTGCGCTCCCCGCTGGCATGACCACGCTGCCCTCCAGCCTGCGCATCGAGAGCACGGGCCTAAGCAGCATCAGCTTTGGCGGCGTCACGCACATCGGCGGTGACCTCATTCTCGACAACAACGCCCTGTTGCACCTTTCCCTGGGCAGCATTGTCTCAGTTGCGGGCACGTTCTCTGCGGCGGGCAATGCTATGAGTACGGCGGCGTTTGGCCAGCTGGCGACTGTTGGCGGCGACATTGTGCTTGGCGGCAACTTGCTGGTGACGATTGACTTTGCCAGCGTGGCTGCTGTTGGTGGCAGTGTTGACGTGCACGGCAACAGCCTCTCCGTCGTGCAGTTTGGATCGCTCACGGCGATTGGAGGCAGCCTGGACCTCTCGAGCAACGTGCTGGCCAGCACGTTTTCCTTTGGCTCGCTGCTCACCATTGGCGGTGACCTGGATCTCAGCAGCAACAGCCTGCAAGGTATCAACTTCAGCTCCCTCAGCTCCGTTGGCGGACAGCTGCTGTTGCAGAGTAACAACCTGTTCAGCCTGACGTGCAACAACCTCGGCACCTGCCTCTGTTTTGACTTTGGATTTGCACCGCTCTTGTGTCCCAGCTCATGTCCGCCTTGCTCAAAGTGATGTGATGTTTGAAGAGGGAGAAGGGAGAGAGCCAGGGAGGGAGGGGAGATGGTGGGGAGTTGTGTGTGTTTGTGCATGTTTTTTGTGTGTGTGTGTGCGTGTGTGTGCGTCTGTGTGTACATGCTTCAAGTTGCCTTGCTTTAGTGGTACACGTGTGAATCAAAGGATGGAAACGAGTGAGGAATCAGGAGGAGAGCGCGCGCTGCACAACAACGGAACGAACTGCACGCAAACAAACAGGTGACAAAGGCGTTGTACACGGAGAGGTTTGTTCGGGTTGCCTCGCCAAGTTGCTTGCTGTTCGCCACCAGCCTCGTCACAGTTCGCTGCGCAATTTTCCCTGACGAAGCCTACAACAAGGCCGGCATAGACAAAGGCCAAGTGTTGGGAAGCGCGCGAAGAAGAAGCAAGCAGAGGAGCACAAAACCCAACTACACACAACGCGCAACCACACACACGCAACCACCCACAACCCTCAAACACGCACACACGCCGCACACACCAGAACCAAAAGCAGTGGACCCAATCTCGTGCCAACCCCATACTCCCATTCCAGACGAAAACGAGGAACAAGCACGGCAGATAAGCAAGGCACAGGTAGCCAGCCATCCATTCATCTTCACCTCCAATCCACAGGTCTCTGTCACCACCAACACCAGCACCACAAACACCACAGGCGGCAGCACAGGCGGCACCACCAATACAAACCACCAGCACCACCCCCACAAACACCGACGATGGCCACGCTGTCGCTTGGAGCGCCTTCATCGAGGGGAACGGCAGCCAATACGAGGCTGTCGCCCACGCCGCAGGGCAAGGACTCGGACATGCTGAAGCAGATGATTCAACGCGCCACATCGCCACAACCATCACCACCACCACAACCACAGCCACCGGCACAGTTGCGATCGCCGCCACAGGAGATGATGGGGCCGCGGCTGAGTCGGGCCACGAACCAACGGCAGCGCGTGCAGGCATCGCCACAGCCACCACACTCATCACCACCGCCGCCGCCAGCCGGCAGCAGGAAGGCCTACGCCGCCACACCGGGCAAGGGCACCACGAGGAGACAGGCAGCGAGCGCCGGCTCGGCATCCCGCAAGTCCCCTGTCGGGTTTGGCTCTCAAAGCACCCGCTTCAGCACAGCGGGCACATACCCGCGCGCGCTTCGCCCTGGAACTTGCATTGCCGCCACATACACCTACAAGGACGAGGTGCGTCGTTGGTGTCGTGCGGCCGAGGGGGGGGGGAGAAGAACTTGTGCGTGTGTTTGTGAACGCATGGTTTTGCGTGTGTGTTGTGTGTGTGTGTGTGTGTGTGTGTGTGTGCGTGTTGTGTGTGTGTGTGTGTGTGTGTGTGTGTGTGTGTGTGTGTGTGTGTGTGTGTGTGTGTGTGTGTGTGTGTGTGTGTGTGTGTGTGTGATGGCGCCATCGCTCTCGCTGACTTTTGATTCGTTTATTGTGTTGTTTTGTTGTTTTGTCAGGACCGTCGACGTGGGCCCGGCATGCACGAGATCCCGCTTGACGAGACGTTGCGATCAGCAACCAAGATGACGCGCAAGAAGTGTGTTGTTGTGTGTGCGTGTTGGGGGAGGGGCATGTGTCTGGGCGTCTTGAGTCCTTCTTTGCGCGCAAAGGCGCACTCATCGTCATGACCACGCTCTTGTTGTTCTCTCACGTGTCCTAATTCTCGATCACTCGCTTTACAGCTGTCACGAATAACATGATCCACAACCCATCTCACCACTCGCATCACCCACCACCACTGCCCTCCATATCAACTCGACAGCACCGAGCCCGAGTGGTCGCGGCAGGCGAGCCATCCGCACCGCATGCGCTTGGGCGTCTCCACCGTCCACCAGCGGCTCAAGAAGAAGCGCGAGAAGGAGGTGCGTTTGTGTGTGTGAGTGTGTGTGTGTGTGAGTGTGAGTGTGAGTGAGTGTTGGGAATGTGCGTTTGTGTGAGTGTGCGAGTGTGAGTGTGTGTGAGTGCGAGTGTGAGTGTGAGAGTGTGTGAGTGTGTGAGTGTGTGAGTGTGTGTTGGGAATGTGGGTGTGTTTGCATAGGCCGCTCATCATCACCCCCACACGTCCTCAACCCCCCCCCCTTCACCACCACCACCACCACCGCCACCATCACGGCCACCATCACCACCACCATCGCTACCAACACGCGTCCGCAGGCGAGGCAGCTTGGCCCCGGCACATATGTTGCGCGGTCGTTCACGGAAGATTCATACGGCCACATACCCATGTCGCTGTCCAGGCCCGGCGCGCGTCTAGCGCCGCCCGACGAGCAGCGCCTGCGTCTCCCTGACGCAACCACATATGCGGACGCGCACGACAAGTTCGATGCATATGTGCGCAGCAGAAAGTCGCCGAGTCGCGTGGGCGTGATGGAGGGCGCGGCGCAGCGGGCGGCCCTGCAACGCGCGGTGGGTGGAAGTGGGAGAGAGGGGGAGGGGAGTGTGAGGAAGATGGTGTGTGCGTGTGTTTGATGCTCTGTGTGATGCTGTGTGTGCGCGTGTGATGCTGTGTGTGCGTGTGTGATGCTGTGTGTGCGTGTGTGCCTGTGTTTGTGATGCTGTGTGTGTGATGCTGTGTGTGCGTGTGTGTGTGTGTGCGTGCGTGTGTGTGATGCTGTGCGAGTGCACATTCACTGCTCTGGTTATCATCAACAAGATGTCTCTTTGCCACTCGGTGCTCACAACTACCATCACCACACTACCATCACCACACTACCATCAACATTGCAATCACGACCACCACCACCACCACCGCGATTGCAGGGTGGGACGGACATACCGCCAAACATGTATGCGGATGCGTTTGCAGCGCCGCTGATGAAGGCCGCGGTGACGGAGCGCGGGCCATACGACACATCCAGCGGAAAGCGATTCGCTGTCAGGAAGGTCAGAGGGGACGAGGAGGAGGGAGAGGGTGAGAGGGGGGGGGGGCTCTGAATGGTTTGATTGGTTTGATTGGTTGATGATGTGGCGTGGTGGGGATGTGTCGGTGAAGGTGTGGGGTTGTCTCGTTTGGTGGGTTGTTTGTTCGTTTGCTTGGTTGGTTGGTTGGTTGGTTGGTTGGTTGGTTGGTTGGTTGGTTGGTTGGTTGGTTGTTTGTTTGTTCGTTTGCTTGGTTGTTCGTTTGTTCGTTTGTTTGTTTGTTTGTTTGTTTGTCTGTCTGTTTGTTTGTTTGGTTGGTTGGTTGGTTGGTTGATTGGTTGTTGCTTGCTTGCACGTCAATTGGCTTCTTGACCAACCACAGGAGCACTCATGCACACACCCATGTCGCACCTCTCCTCATTGCCCGCCCCCCCCCCTCTGCCCCGAATTGCAGAAGTCGTATGACCTGGTGCCGGGCCAATACGGCGTGGTTGATCTCGCCCCGCTCTCATCCAGCCCGCGCCCGCGCACAGCAGAGTTCTCAAAGGTGACGCGAAGTTGTGTCGTGCTTGGCTTGTTTCGTTTGGTGGTTGTGAATGTGTGGGTTTATTTGTTTGCTTGATTGTGACACGGTATCACGCGCAACACAAACGCAACGCACAGCATCAACAACGCGCAGCGTCAACCTGTGCGCTCTCAACTCATCCACCCCCTCCTCCCCCTCCCCCTTTTCATCACAACAAACAACGAACAACAACTTCACCTAAACCACCAATACACCGCCGCCGCCACAAACACCACGAGCAGATGCAGCGCTTTGGTGCCAAGACGGGCATGCGTCTGGAAGGACAGCTGGCCGGACTCGGGGAGGACTCGCTAGGCCCCGGCCACTACACGTCTGACCTTGCCCAGACGTACCCGCCCCCACACGGACCGCAGCGCCGCCGCAAACACGGACGTGAGTGAAAAAAGGGATTTGCGTGCGTGAATGTGTGTGTGTGTGCGTGTGTATCTTGTGCGTTTGTGTGTTTGTGTGTGTGTGTGTGTGTGTGTGCGTGCGTGCGTGTGTGTGTGTGTGTGTGTGTGTGTGTGTGCGTGTGAATGTGTGTGTGTGCGTGTGAATGTGTGTGTGTGTGTGAATGTGTATGTGTGTGCGTGTGCGCGTCGCCAGTATTCCTAGTACCAAGCGTGCGTCCGTGTCTACGGTTCGTGGTCGTGCTAACACGTGCATATGCTCTCCTTCTTGTTGCGCCCTATTTCTCCTCCTTCAGCGGCGTTTGGCTCGACCACCAACAGAAAAACGTTCTTTGACGACGTGATTCGACGCAGCGCTGTGCGTTGACAATGCTTGTGATGGCTGGAGGTGTGGCGTATGGGTGGTTGTGGTGATGTTGGCCTTGAAGGTGTGCATTGTGCAAAGTTCACGCTCACGTTCACACACACACATACACACACACACACACACACACACACTCACATACCAACACACAACACACACACACACACACACACACACACACACACACACACACACACACACACACACACACACACACACACACACACACACACACACACACACACACACCTCGCCTCCACCACACCAGCGGACCCCGACGGACCCAGCGGAGTACAATCCGCCCGTGCCCGGGTCGCAGCACGCGGCGGGCCGGTACCGCCAGACATACGGCAGCTGCCTCAAGTCAACCGTCGGGAGGTGCGCTGACGAGGAGGAGGGGGAGGAGGAGGAGGAGGAGGAGCATGGGAGAGAGGGGGAGCAGGAGGAGGACGAGGGTGTTGGTTGGTTGGTTGGATGGGTTGGTTGGTTGGATGGGTTGGTGGTTGTGTGGCATGTTGTTGCATTGCTGTCTCGCTCGCTGATATCGACTGTTTTGTTTCATCACCAGCACCATCCACTCATCCCCTCCCACCCACTCCCCACTACCTACTCGAATGCATCACCACGCCAATGCCGTGCCATGACCAGGTTTGACTTCAAGGGCCACTCCTACGAGTTTGCACGCGAGCGGCTGGCGGCGTCGCGTCGCGTACGTCATTCGCTGCCATTGCTGTCGTCGTTGCTGTAGAGAGAGGGGGGATGTTTGATGTCGTTGTTTGTCTGGGCGCATGTTTGTGGAGTGACATGATGTTTGTCTGTGAGTTGTGTGTGATGGCAGATCTGTTGTTCGCACACATTGACATGGACACACTGACACATGCACACACTTGCAGTAACATAACTCCACCTCGCGTTGAGCATTCTCATCACGGGAGCATCACCAGCAGCGTCCATCTTGCATGTGTTTCTGCGTCCCTTTTCGTGCTTGGTGGGAATGTAATGTAACAATTGGTTTTGTCGGGGTGCGTCGGGTTGTGTGGTTGTTTCGTGTCTCATGAACTGATGTCATAGATAATGCAGTTTGCTTTGAGTTGTGTGTGTGTGTGTGTGTGTATTGGCAGATGTTGTGAGTGCTCGCGTACGTGCGTGTGCGGGTGTGTGTGTTGGCAGATATTGTGAGTGCTCGCGTGCGTGGGCGTCACGTCGATGAATACAACACAGAACACCAACAACAACAACATCCCGGCAGACAATTCCTCGTCACGACACCACAAACCGCAGTGAAGA